AAGACTAGAGCCTGTCATTCTGATTTGGAGTGTTTGAGCATCTTTTTTTTTGTGTCCGTTTGGCTACTTGTTCATAAGAATAGCCATAAAAAATAGTTTAGTCATGTTTAAACTTATAAGGTTTATGAGTATTTTCGTGTTTAATTTTGTTCTCACATCACACCAAATCTGAACCGGAGTAATTTTTATTAAGGTCAAAGTAGTCTTATCACGGTTGCATTAAGTAATTTTAGGGGTTGGTCGTGGCTAGGGGTTAAGAAATGAGAGAATTCTCAAAGTAAAACATGCTCAAAGTCCAGAAATAGGAGTGGATGTCCCTAGGCATGGACATGGCCCGGGTCGGCACGGGTTCCGGGACGGGTCGGGGTGGGACTGGGGTTTTGGGATGAAGGCCTGGTACCGGCCCGAGTTGGTACCGAGACCGGGCCGGGCCCGGGTCATGTTGGGTCTAAGTTTTTTTTTTTAAATTTGTTTTTCCGAATTTATTCCTACCCCCAAACCACCCAGCCCCACCCGCCTAGCAGCCAATTAATGGGAAAAAATCAAAAAAAAAAAAAAAAGGATCAGCCGGGCCAGTTCACATTTTGCAAGGCCCGTAGCCCGCCCCTCTACCACCCGATTCAGGCCCCCAGTCCCGGTACTGCACAGTACCGGTCCAGGTGCCGGCTCGGGCCGACCCGTCATAGTCTAGTCCATCCCTAGATGACCATAGTTTCCTTTAGGACTTATTTGTGATTGAAGATTAAGAACCCTCGTTATGTTAGGGAACTAGGAGGCAATTACTTAAAGAACATAAAAACATGAACTATTCAAGGAATAGGACCATGTTTTTGTACTATTTAGTGCAATTTTACCTTGAGTAAGGATGGCAATGGGGGCGGGGGGCCCGTGGGGAACCGCCCCGTGGGGGGGAGTTGGGGCGGGTGGTGGGGTGGGGCGGGTGGTGGGGTGGGGGAGATATTTTCTCCCCGCATAAATATGGGGCGGGTGATGGGTTATGCACCCCCCGCACCGTCCCCGCCCCGTCCCCCGTAATAATTAATAATAATAATAATCTCAATAATAATACTAATAATAATAGTAATACTAATACAAAGTAATTAAAATAGCATGGTGGCCCGGTGGGTTTAGTGGTTTCCTATCTAATGGATTGTGCCTAATTGGTCTATCTAATTCTTGTTTAATAACTAAGCTATCTTGTAAAATTGCTTATCAAAATCATAAAGTAAAATGATTTGTTTAGGGATAAAGTAAAATGAATTTGGGAAAGTTATAAAGTGATATTAGCTTAAACGCCCTAGGCACGATGCGAAAGTTTTTTTCCTTTACTATTACAATGCATTAATTCTTTTCTTTTGAATGTCATCTTTATGATTGTAGTTAGGGCTCTTAAAATTTTGTGATCATATGCCGTCCTAGATGCCATCAAATGACCATGATTGATTGAATGCAGGGTTTAAGAAAATATTATAGAGCTAATCAATGCTAATTTAGAGTTTGATAAAAATGACTAAATTAGGACGTGTATAATGTGTTCTAGATTTGAAATGGGATGTAAGATTACATTGACACTTAGGGTCTGTTTGCAACAACTTCTGCTTTTAAAAAAGTGCCTTTTTTAATGAAATGGGGAGAAGTGATTAAATAAAAGTTGATAGTGTTTGAGAAAAAAGTGATTTTGAAAAGTAAAAGTGGGTAATGTTTGGTAAAATAAGTGCTTTTTGTGTAATAGAAAAAGTAAAAGCACTTTTGACGCGAAAGCCGAGAAAAATAAAAGTTGTAGTGTTTGGAAAAATAAGTGTTTTTTTAAAGCCAAAAGCTGAGAAGTGCTTTTTTTTAAAAAGAGTTGCAAACCAACCCTTAAAAAGTAAAAAAAATTGGCTACTAGAAGTGTTGTTTAATTTTTGAAAAATTGTCAGTCTAAAATGATGTTAATTTTTGACGAGTACTTCCCCCGTTGGGTACCCGTGGGTCTAGCGGGTCGGGGCGGGGATGGGGCGGGTCGAATAGTAGTGGGGGATGGGGCGGGGGTGGGGGCGATTTTTTAGACACGGGGCGGGGGATGGGGGAGTGAACCCCCGCCCCAACCCCGCCCCATTGCCATCCCTAACCTTGAGAGATGTAATTCAACACTTGCTGGTGTAGTTTAAAGTTAAAGATGCTAAACTTAGAGTAATTAAGGCAGTCCTTTTAACCTTTTGCAGTTCTACACTTCTACTCATACTATTTGGAAAGGCTAGAGTACTACGGAGTAGAATTTTTTATGGTGCTGCTAGTATAATAGTCTTTCATTTTTGAATAGCAGATATCGACATTGTAAGTAAACCTAGAAAATCTCTTTTAAACAAGAAATTGGGAAATCATGTTTTAACATGAAAGAACAAGCTGAGCACAGGCAGGGCCAACACAACTCTGATAAAAGGCACTCAATTCAGCTACACTTTTGTAATGAATACAATATCAAGACAAGCAGGAATGTCACCTAGAGAACCCTTGCAAAATTTCAGAAAATACTTATGTGTTAAATTCACCATAATTTAATCAAAACCTCTCAGCCAAACGGGCAGTGACTGCTCTAAGCTTGGAATACACCTTCCCAGCAGGAGACCCCATAATCAGACTGCAAAGTGAATCTCTTGCAACCTTTATATTTGTAAATGAACCTAGTATATGAATCTTAGTATCAGCAATCACAATGCGTGTTTTCGTCGAGTTCTCAATAGCAAACTTGGTCTTTCCTCCTTTACCAGATAACCTTCCAATCGCCCTGGACAAATGCTCCCCTCGGAGTGTTTTCACATCCTTGATCTCAAATGAATCAACATATAGCTCGTCCACCCGGAGGAGAGCAACAGCGTCGCAGATGTCAAAGCCCAGCATAAAGGCGTGCACAAAGTCAGCGGACTTCTGGATGTTGCTGATGTCAGGGGTGTCAGGTCGGGTCTTTAGCTCCACCCTACGGGCCTTGAGATTCATACGTATGTCAACTTTCATCTGCTCAAAGATTGGGGTGTAGATGTCCATCCAGGCTTTCTTCAAAGGTGTGTATCTATGCGACGGCACAGGAATTTTTCGGAACTGCACCTGGCCATCGGATATTTCATGCGCTGTAAGTGGCTTGAAGTTTGGCTTAACTGGAAGGCTGCCTGGATTGCTAGCAGGAGGTGGGTCCATCGTCACATCAGAGGTTACATTCTCGATTTCCATGGTTGAAATCCGAGTAAGAGAAAACCTGGCAGAGTATGAATTCAGAAAAGAGGTATAAAATAAAGGTTAGGGTTTGGGTCAATAGAGTTGACATCACAATCTGAAAATGACATTTTAATGATTATTTTTATTGTAAGATTTTGAAAGTGGTTTATAATTGTGTTGATCTAAAAACAATCTGACTTTGCGGTCAAAAACATGTTTGATTGTCAAACAACTAAAAATAATAATCCTATTTTGGAATAATATACAATGTCATTTCAGAAAACGAATTCCACACACACAATACTCTCTTTTCCTCATATACGGCGTGTCGGTATCATATAATATGCTTATATGCTAATAAATTAAGGGATGATTAAATCTACTCAAATCATACATTTTAATGGTTAGTGGTAGGGATGGCAATGGGGCGGGGTTGGGGCGGGGGTTCACTCCCCCATCCCCCGCCCCGTGTCTAAAAAATCGCCCCCACCCCCGCCCCATCCCCCACTACTATTCGACCCGCCCCATCCCCGCCCCGACCCGCTAGACCCACGGGTACCCAACGGGGGAAGTACTCGTCAAAAATTAACATCATTTTAGACTGACAATTTTTCAAAAATTAAACAACACTTCTAGTAGCCAATTTTTTTTACTTTTTAAGGGTTGGTTTGCAACTCTTTTTAAAAAAAGCACTTCTCAGCTTTTGGCTTTAAAAAAACACTTATTTTTCCAAACACTACAACTTTTATTTTTCTCGGCTTTCGCGTCAAAAGTGCTTTTACTTTTTCTATTACACAAAAAGCACTTATTTTACCAAACATTACCCACTTTTACTTTTCAAAATCACTTTTTTCTCAAACACTATCAACTTTTATTTAATCACTTCTCCCCATTTCATTAAAAAAGGCACTTTTTTAAAAGCAGAAGTTGTTGCAAACAGACCCTAAGTGTCAATGTAATCTTACATCCCATTTCAAATCTAGAACACATTATACACGTCCTAATTTAGTCATTTTTATCAAACTCTAAATTAGCATTGATTAGCTCTATAATATTTTCTTAAACCCTGCATTCAATCAATCATGGTCATTTGATGGCATCTAGGACGGCATATGATCACAAAATTTTAAGAGCCCTAACTACAATCATAAAGATGACATTCAAAAGAAAAGAATTAATGCATTGTAATAGTAAAGGAAAAAAACTTTCGCATCGTGCCTAGGGCGTTTAAGCTAATATCACTTTATAACTTTCCCAAATTCATTTTACTTTATCCCTAAACAAATCATTTTACTTTATGATTTTGATAAGCAATTTTACAAGATAGCTTAGTTATTAAACAAGAATTAGATAGACCAATTAGGCACAATCCATTAGATAGGAAACCACTAAACCCACCGGGCCACCATGCTATTTTAATTACTTTGTATTAGTATTACTATTATTATTAGTATTATTATTGAGATTATTATTATTATTAATTATTACGGGGGACGGGGCGGGGACGGTGCGGGGGGTGCATAACCCATCACCCGCCCCATATTTATGCGGGGAGAAAATATCTCCCCCACCCCACCACCCGCCCCACCCCACCACCCGCCCCAACTCCCCCCCACGGGGCGGTTCCCCACGGGCCCCCGCCCCCATTGCCATCCTTAGTTAGTGGCATGGGAATAACTTTGATTAATAAAAAAGGCAAGGCTGAAATGATTTCATGAGTAACCTGCTACTAAAAAATTAGTTGCATGTTAAGAAATAGGCCTGTCCAGTTAAAAACTGATTAGCAAATATATGAATACAAACTCTCTGCAGAAGCATTATAAAAATCATTTTACTAACATGCGTACAGATCAAGGAACACGATGAAAATGAGCTGAAGAGATCAAGTCCAACATTCTAAATATAAAAAAAATCGGTAGATTTGTAGAGTATGGGTCAATATATATAGAAGCATATGCACAGGATTTGGATATAATGGAATAATTGGGTTTTCAAACCACACAAAATTTGGAATTGCATTTAGATGTGAAAAGAAAACCAGGGCAGTAACACTTTATCAGCAAATAAAAAAAACGAAGCAACATTTAGATATTAAGTACTTGCCTAGGCATACATAAGCATAACACAATACCCAAAAAAATTGATCATTAAAATATATTGAAACCAGAGAAATATGAAGCAGCACTAACGCTTATAGGTATAAATGCTCATATTCTTTGTCACTATTCATAAAATACCTTAAAATTGGTAAATGAGCAGCGGATAATTGAGATCTTTCGTCAGATGTCAAAATTCGTGGGAGAGTGGACAGAGTTTTCAAGTGTAGGGCTGGTTCGGTATGGCATACCGAAAATTTTGTGCCATACTGTATACCATACCGAAATACTGGTATATGAAAATGACATACCGTTGCCGTACCGAAACTTCGGTATACCGATGTTTCGGTATACCGAAATTTTGGTAAGCCCAAATGACATACCGAATATTCGGTATACCGAAATTCAAGCAAAGTATTGATATACAGAAAATCTAATAACTTGCCAAAGTAAAATCTCACATAAATTCAAAAATTATTAACAAAAACATGCAATAAATACCAATAATAACTAATGTATAACTACTGATTAACTGAATGCTCAATTTTTAAACACAAAATATTATAAACTTATAATCATTTATTCAAGAATCATGGGCTTCAAGAGAATCAAGGCTATGCAAATTTAAAATGTCAAAGCACATTGATTCCGACATAAAGTACATATTTAAATGCAATTATAGCATAGAATTCATTAAAGCAATATAGATGAAGCAGCCCGAAATCGACATGATCACTGAACTTGTGGCTATCATTTGATCACTCCTTAAGATGTGAAAAGAGAAAGAAAAGGGTGGAAAAACAATTCATGGAGAATGAACAAAGACTCACTTATATATAGTCATCAAAACTGATCATAGAACCGGTGAAACTTTTCTGGGGAAAGCATAGATTTACATATATCACTCAAGAGGGGTGAAAAAACTTTGAATTCTATAATTCTGGAGGGGAGCAAAAACTTTGTTAATTCTGGAGCTCTTTCTGCAAGATCTTTGTGACAGGAAATATGACATTACACTTAGAGGGGAGTAAAAACTTTGAATTCATTCAATTTGAAACAATTTGTACAAACTTTTAATCCTTTAAATTCCGGAGTGTTGGAGTTGCTCCTTAGATCCAATTCTTTTGACCACCCGCAAGCCAGGACATTATCATCGCTCCTTAAATCCAACACTCCGGAATTTAAAGGATTAAAAGTTTGTACAAATTGTTTCAAATTGAATGAATTCATAGTTTTTACTCCCCTCTAAGTGTAATGTCATATTTCCAGTCACAAAGATCTTGCAGAAAGAGCTCCAGAATTAACAAAGTTTTTGCTCCCCTCCAGAATTATAGAATTCAAAGTTTTTTCACCCCTCTTGAGTGATATATGTAAATCTATGCTTTCCCCAGAAAAGTTTCACCGGTTCTATGCTCAGTTTTGATGACTATATATAAGTGAGTCTTTGTTCATTCTCCATGAATTGGGCTAATGCATATAATGTTGTTTAAGAGAACACTTTGGTTTGATTGTGTATATATGATACACGTAAGTAATACAAGTGAAAAGCTTCACTATATGTTAAATTCCGTGTGTAATATGGTACATCATGTATTCAGTTTATTTTATTTTCTCCTTTTCACCTAATAGTCAGATTAGGGTTTTTATCTTTATGGGCCTTGTACGTGTATAAATACTCTTTTACTTGTTAATGAGAAAAGAAGAACTTCCCCATTTTTGCTCTCATGGTATCAGAGCCAAAAAATACAAACCCTAAACACCTATAGGATTTTCGCCAATTCTCATGGCCGATCCAAACTTTGACAATACCAGTTCTACTGGAAACTCCTCTCGGTCTGGTGGAATGACCCCAGCCGACAATGCTCAATCCCATTCCATTAATTCAATTACTTCTCATAAATTGAATGGAAGTAATTTCATGGAGTGGTCACAATCGGTCAAACTCTTCATTCAAGGGAGAGGTAAATTTGGCTATTTATCTGGAACCACGATCAGACCAGACCCTACGAAGGATCCCGTCAACTACAACACTTGGGAGGCTGAAAACGCGATGATAATGTCCTGGCTTGTGAATTCCATGGATACAGGTCTAGGAAGAACTTATCTCTTCCTTCCCACAGCGAATGACATCTGGATGGCAGTGAGGGAGACATACTCAGACCTCGGCAATTCTGGCCAACTCTATGATATCAAAACCCAATTGAGTAAGGCTAGGCAAGGCGAGAAGTCCGTGACAAAGTACTACACCGACCTCCAGATGCTTTGGCAGGAGATGGACCTCTACTGTGATTACAAGTGGAGCTGCTCAAGAGATAGCGCCTTGTACCAGAAGATTGTCGAGAAAGGGAGAGTATTTGACTTTCTAGTTGGCTTGAATGCAGATCTTGATGAAGTCAGAGGCAGAATTCTTGGCCAAGATCCACTTCCAAGCACACGTGAGGTTTTTTCAGAAGTCCGGAGAGAAGAAAGCCGCCGTCAAGTCATGTTGGGACCCGGGGTTAGTGATGCTGCACCAACACGTCCAGAGATGAGTGCTATGGTGACTTCCAAACCTGATTTCAACAACCGGTTCCCAAAGAAATCTGACCGGCCAACCTGTGAACACTGCAACAAGGTTGGACACATCAAAGCTAAGTGCTGGAAACTCCATGGCAAGCCAGCTGATCTCCCACGACCCTTCGACGACAACAAAAGTGCTCTTCAAGTCTCCCAGCCGACACCAAGCAGCCCCAGAGCTTCACCATCGACTCCAGAACAGTCTTTCTTCTCTAAAGACAATTTAGAGCAATTGTTCAAGCTATGGACCACTCATCAGTCATCATCATCCCTAGCACTGAAAGGTATCCATGTGACAGCCCTTAAAACAACCTTAGATAATTTCAATCCATGGGTCCTAGATTCAGCTGCCACAAATCATATGACTGATTCGTCCTATCTTTTTCACACATATTACCCTTGTTCTGGTCATGAAAAAGTGAAAATTGCAGATGGATCTCTTTCTGCTATTGCTGGGAAAGGTTCAATAATTTTATCCCCATCCATTACCTTATCAAATGTCCTTCATGTTCCTAAACTTGCCTATAACCTGTTATCTGTCCATAAATTGACAATTGATTCACAATGCAAGCTCACTTTTGTACCTTCTGGTTGTGAATTTCAGGACCTATGCTCGGGGAAGATGATTGGCAGTGCTAAAGAATATGGAGGGCTATACTACTTCAAATCCGAGGCAACCTTGAATAAACAAATTCAGAAACCTCATTGTTCTAGTTTATTTTCAGTATCTGATAAAATAATGTTATGGCACTTTCGTTTAGGTCATCCAAGTTTTAGTTATTTGAAGCATTTGTTTCCTTCTATGTTTCAAAATGAGAACATTGATCTTTTGCAATGTGAAATTTGTCAATTAGCAAAACACAAAAGGTCTAGTTTTCCTACTTTGAAATATACTCCATCGAAACCTTTTGCTTTAATTCACAGTGATATTTGGGGACCATCACGTGTAAAAAATATAACAAATACACGGTGGTTCATTACTTTCATTGATGATCATACTAGAAACACATGGATATATCTACTAAAGGATAAATATGAGGCTGAAAATACATTTAAAATGTTTTATAAAATGGTTGAAACCCAATTTAACAGCAGAATACAGATTTTAAGAACTGATAATGGCAGAGAGTCATTTTTCATTTTCATTTACCCCAGTGCCGCAAAGGCTCCCACCTACGGTGGGGTAAGGGGGGGTCGGATGTACGCAGTCTTACCCCTGTACTAAAGTACAGAGAGACTGTTTCCGGATGACCCATAGTGAAAATCGTGTCCAAATTGCATGGATTGACTGTTACTTCATAACAAAGAAGCGCAGAGAGTATTTTAATAAAATTCTTGGTGAGTTTTTAATTGAAAAAGGCATAATCCATCAAAGTTCTTGTGTTTATACACCTCAACAAAATGGAATTGCCGAAAGAAAAAATAGACACTTACTTGAAGTTACTCGAGCTCTAATGTTTTCGATGAATGTTCCAAAACGTGTTTGGGGAGATGCTTTATTAACTGCTTCATATCTAATTAATAGAATGCCAAGCAAAATTCTTAGCTATAATACTCCCATTAAAACACTAAAAAAATATTTTCCTGAAAATAAATGTTTCACACATCTTTCTCCGAAAATTTTTGGATGTACTGCTTTTGTTCACATTCATAATCATGATAGAGGAAAATTGGATCCAAAAGCAATTAAATGCATTTTTCTTGGCTTTTCCCCTACACAAAAAGGTTTTAAATGCTATGATCCCAGCTCGGGTAAATTCTTTGTAAGTATGGATGTCACATTTTTTGAAAACAAACCTTTCTATGACAAAAACTCTCTTCAGGGGGAGAAAAATGATAATGAAGAGTGTTTTTGGGAATTAAATCATACTCTGCCTATTTCTTTGTCTTTGCCTACATCTGATCGTGTGCAAAATGATATTTCATCATATAATGAAAATGAAACTGATTCAATTGAGGAACCAAGTACTGATTTTCGTGTTAACTCAAGAGTGCAATCAGAGAATGAAGTTGAAACCTCAGCAGTGTCATCATCGGAACCGGACTCGGGTCAAGGTAACACATCTCCTATCACCTCTAACTCACCCATAACCACTGAAATTAGTGATGAGTCAGCAGAAAGCCTAGATGCAACCGAAAGCCAAGATGAGCCTATTGCCCTTAGAAAAGGTGCCAGAAAGTGCACTACCAGAAAAGCCGATAAGTTTCCCATGTACCCTTTGTCTAATTATGTCTCATATCAAAACCTTTCTCCTACCTTTAGAGCCTTTACCACTAATCTTATGGCTGATGAGGTCCCTAGTTCTATACATGAAGCTCTAAGTAGTCCCAAGTGGAAGGAGGCTGTTTTAGAGGAAATGAGAGCTCTAAAGAAGAATGAGACTTGGGAGATAAAAGAGTTACCTAAGGGAAAACGGACGGTTGATTGCAAGTGGATTTTTACGATCAAGTATAATGCTGAGGGAATAATTGACAGGTACAAAGCAAGGCTGGTTGCTCGTGGGTTTACTCAAACCTATGGGATTGATTATGAGGAGACTTTTGCACCGGTTGCCAAACTTAACACAGTCCGAGTCATACTCTCCCTTGCCATGAATCTTGACTGGCCACTACGACAATTCGACGTCAAGAATGCCTTCCTCAACGGAGAATTAGAAGAAGAGGTCCTTATGCAGCTTCCCCGGGATTTGACCAAGACTCCAATGGGAAAGTATGCCTCCTGAAGAAGGCGTTGTATGGGCTCAAGCAATCTCCACGAGCTTGGTTTGGAAGATTTTCAAAGGCAATGAAGGATCAGCAATACACACAAGCTCACAGTGATCATACCATGTTCTGCAAACACTCTCTAAATGGTAAACTAGCCATATTGATTGTTTATGTGGATGACATTGTAATGACAGGAGATGATGAGACTGAACTCAAAAAGTTGACGTGATTCCTAGCTCAACAATTTGAGGTGAAAGATCTAGGAAGCCTTAAATACTTCTTGGGAATGGAGGTTGCCGGGTCATCGAAGGGAATTGCCATCTCACAAAGGAAGTACGTGCTTAACCTACTCATGGAGACAGGTTTACTCAGCTGCAAACCCGCTTCTACTCCGATTGATCAAATTCATAAGCTTACAAAGTCAGATGGTGAGGATCTGGCAGACAAGGCGAGGTATCAAAGGTTGGTTGGAAAGTTGATTTACTTAGCTCATACACGGCCAGACATTGCATAAGCAGTGAGCCTGGTGAGTCAGCACATGCACAGTCCATCCAAAAGTCATCTAGAGGCCGTGTATCGCATTCTGCACTACCTCAAAGGGAGCCTGGGAAAAGGAGTTGTCTTCAAGAAGAACAATGGTAGGCAGATTGAAGTGTTCACGGATGCTGACTATGCCGGGTGCTCTGACGACCGGCGATCAACCTCAGCATATTGTACCTTCGTGTGGGGCAATCTAGTAACATGGAGGAGTAAGAAACAAGTTGTTGTGTCTCGGAGTAGTGCAGAGGCTGAATTCCGAGCTATGGCTCAGGGTATTTGTGAAATTATCTGGATCAGGAGCATCTTGAATGAGCTATAGCTCCTATGAAGTTATTTTGTAATAATAAGTCTGCCATCAGCATTGCCAACAATCCGGTTCAACACGACCGGACCAAGCACGTGGAGATCGATCGTCACTTCATCAAAGAGAAGCTAGAGAAGGGAGAAATCTGCATGCCTTTCGTCCCAACATCAGAACAACTTGCAGATGTTCTCACCAAAGGGCTTTATAAACAGATATTTGAAGACTTCATAAGCAAGTTGGGAATGATAGATATCTTTGCACCAACTTGAGGGGGAGTGTTAAATTCCGTGTGTAATATTGTACATCATGTATTCAGTTTATTTTATTTTCTCCTTTTCACCTAATAGTCAGATTAGGGTTTTATCTTTATGGGCCTTGTACGTGTATAAATACTCTTTTACTTGTTAATGAGAAAAGAAGAACTTCCCCATTTTTGCTCTCACTATATAAACTTAGATTTATATATAAGTAATTAGAATTTGTATATACATTGAACTGCAGTTCAATAATGTTGAAATAATCTAATTTTTTGGTAAAATATATTGTATACATACAAATCTGTATAAGTTTAAATACTAATATTCTTAAAGGTATATAAATAAAAACATGTAGATATAGTTTAAAAATAATACTCTAATAGAATAATTATAGAAATATAGTTTAATTTAATTTTTATTTTTAATATTAATCAAATAATATATTGAATATTGTATTGCTCAGAGTTGTTCGAGTGGCAGTCCCTATACGGTGCAACCTGCCCACCTTGAGCACCGTACTCCTGCAATCAAAACGACACAGTCTTGCACTTTTTTAATAAAAAATTTCGTGCATGAACAGTACACGCGCGTGTACAGTAATTTTTTTTGTTTTTTCCTTTGTTCCAGTAGCAGAGTGATGTAACTCACGTGTAAAAAAATGTAACTCACGTTATTAATCAATGTAACTCAAGTCCAGTCCAAATGTAACTTGCCCAATACTTAGTATAAGAAATAAAACATTGATTTCAATGTAAATAATGAAAAAGGAGTCTAATTGCCCAATTATTTTACAAAATAGTGTATATGTTTTGTTTCTAATATATCAAGGCTATAAAAATGATTTTTTTTAAATTAATTTTTCTTTGAGTAGCAGAGGCTTATTGAGTTGTGTAACTCGCACTATATTGTTGTGCAACTCAAATTATGAAAATGTAAATCATATGTAAACAGGATGTAACTCGCGTACAATAAGATGTAACTCATGCATAAACAGATGTAGCTCACGAATAAAAAGATGTAACTTGTTGATAAAATTTGCCATGTAACTCACGCTAATACATATGTAATTTTAGGCAAATCTTGGTGTAACTTGAGTATGCGCAAAATGTAATTTGAGAAATGTCTAAAATAATTCATCCTAGTCATCTTCAACATGTGACAAAGATGAGTCTTCTTTATTAGGATCTGAAGTTTCATATTCATTACTATTATATATATAATCAGTGAAAATCCATATATGTAAAGCATCTCTTTGCCGGTGAATCACTGTGTCTGTCAGTAAGCAGCACAATGGACATTAACCATGACACTCTGCTTTTTCCACTCCAAATCGCACCAGAGGACATTGATGGCAGTCTTTAATCTTGCCATGTTTCCCTTCACAATTGAGTTCTAGATTATCCTTTGTCCGGCCAAATCATCTTTTCAATTGTGGATGAGTGAATCCAACCCTGACTTTCTTCTCTCTGCGACTCAGGTATTGTAGGAGATGATTCACCGTCATACGACTTTCAATTGGGATTCGCCGAGTTCTTCCATCGATCATTACTTTAATTAGCAAAACGACGCCGTATTTGACCGGGCATACCATGCGCATGGTATGCCGGTCGTACGGTATAATTTGCGTTCGAGTGGGGTATATAAAAATTGTTCTAGAGGTACTTGAAATTTCATTTTGAAAAATATCAGTATAGATTCGTCACTTATGCTATGCATGTTACTATTCAGGCCATATAAATCAAAATGTCCAATTTATGTCAATCAAACAAATAAGAAATGATACATAATTAAAGAGACATAACTAAGCAGATATACGAAGTATTAAACTAGCATCATTTTTTATGTTTTTAAAAAATCATCAGGGTTATGCATGAAAAGCAATTTACATTAACAAAAAAATTAGATGTTTCAAACGCATACACAAATTAGAAAAACTAAATATAGAGACATTGTAATTTATAAATGAAAGATATATACACTGAAAATCAAGTCGTGAATAATACCACAATCGTTGGCAAGAGTCGGCCTACTACTGGAACACACAAGAAGTATACCGGCTAAGATGAGTATCTATCGGTCGAGTTGGACTCATCCGCGAAGACGCCGTAGATTAGACTGAGATTGAGATTAACATGTGTCTCTCACATGTAATCAGAATAACTGAGATGTTAATGACTCTCTGCCTCTTACCTAGCCGTGAATCATATTCAGATAGATCATTTTGTTCGTGAACGGGTGGCTCACGGGAAACTTGTGGTTTAATATATCCCACTCAGTATTAGTTAGCAGATATTATTACTAAAAATCGAGATTTGAGTTCTTACGTTTCAATCTGCACGTGATTTTCATTGCACAGATTGAGGGGTGTAATAATGTATTATAGGGATTTGTGTGTAAATACTCTTAATATTTATCATTATAAATACAATGCTAGGGCACTCATATGTGTAGTCCACTCTTTCATTCAATTATTATCTCACACAAAGCACGGCCGGTCCTGTCAATTTTCGGGCCTATGGGCGAGATATTATTTTGGGCTTATATTCAACTAATTCAAGACAAATAATAAACTATATATATTTAAAAAAATAATTATAATAAAATTGTTTAATAAAGGTCATTAAATAAAAACGAAACTCATTTTATTATTATTATTTAAATTACATATTTGGTGAAAAGTAACAACACAACTATCACATAAAAAGAAAAACATTACTTAAAAACGTTTCTCACGGAATTTTAAAGATTTAATTTCTTAACAAACAGAATTTTCCATCGAACCCTTCTAACTTAGCCCTATCTTTTCTAATCTTCTTCTTTTTCTCTATTTATCCCAACCTCATTCACCAATTTTATCAAGAATAATTTATTGATCATGGATGGATTGTTTGAAGCCTTGAAAGAAGTTTTTTGGTCACCGGCCACCGTTTGGGCTCCTCGATTGATTGGCTTCAATTCTAAACAAACCGCTAAGGCACTCACCGCTTTGCAACGTTCTTTACTCTTGTTGATATTGGAATTTCTAAACAACAAATCAATTTCGATGAGTTTTGCGAGTTGAGAGTTTTGGACTGGGGAGGCCTAACATAACTTGATTATCTCAGTCAGCTTTTCAAGACCATGTACTCCTTCAGTGTAATTTTGCCAGAGACATATGGATTTTTTTTTTGAAAAAGCGCTGCACATACAGGGGAGAATTGTTACGAAGGTAAAGCTTCAACTACTTAAGTGGTGGGCTTCAGGAAAGAATAAGTCTTTGGATGCTACTTGCAGTGTGATTATTCCGGGAGTAATCGCTTGGCATATTTGGAAGGAATACTGGGAAGCGTTTTGGAAGGATAAACCTCCGGACAAGGAGCATATTATAAAACAAATTATCAATTTCATGGTTAATTGGAGCTATGCTAATTCGAGTCTTAAAGGAGGAGATAATCTGAAGAATTGTGGATTGTTACCTGGTGCTTTCAAAATGAATAAACCGCAGGTAGGTGTGTGGAAGAAGCCGGCTCCCGGAAAGCTTAAGCTTAACTGGGCGGTCTTTCGTCGTAATGGAAAGACGGCGGCAGGTTATCTGCTCAGAGACCATATGGGGGCGGCGGCAGGTAAGTGCTTCATCGAGAATGGAAGGCGAAGAAGACGAGGCTTTCAGGCAAGCGGTGGAGTGGGTGGAGACCTTTCAGATTCAGCCAAGGTTGTTAAAATCGTATTTTTGAATCGAATCGGTAGATGTTTTTAAAAATCTAATCGTAAAATCGAATCGCAAATCGTAAGATTTTACCAAACATATTTTAATAATTATAAAATAAATAAATATTAAAATTAAGTTGCAAGTTAATGATATTATATCATTTCATTACATAAAACTATATCTAAAATGTCAAAAGCAAGATTTATAAACTGTTTTTATAATGTAAATGTATTGAATAATAACATTAAACATATGTAAAACATAAAAATAATTAAGTAACACAAGAATCCATTACTTTTATAAATAAACTATTCATATTATTATTATTGGAATTATGTATCAATTTGTAGTTGTTAATTTTAATAAATTTGAGCCATTTTCACCAAAAACAACTTATTACGATTTTGCTACGATTTTATACGATTCTACACGATTTTAGGACGATTTTTTTACGATTTTGTACGATTTTATGATTTTACGATTTTACCTGCGATTTGAATCGCTTTATTAATGTAGAATCGTAAAATCGTACGATTTTACGATTTAAATCGAGATTTTAACAACCTTGGATTCAGCAGGTGGAGGTGGACTTTTGCCTTATTCCCAAGTAAATAAGGCAGCATTTTTGGTGGCTAAATCGGGCTGGAAGGCTGATTTCGTATGGCGCCCGGGCTTGTTTATGCCTAAGGAGATCCAAGGGGCTATGGATTTAGACTCTAGGTCCTTTCCGTATATTTGGTGATTCATTAGTGTTTTGACTCTATTCCCTTTTATGGTTTTTATATTCATTCTACTCATCTTTTTGTCAAAATTGTTTGTTCTTATGGGAAGGCATTGGTTCGGACCCCCTCTCGTTGTACTCATCTATCTATTAATAAAATTATCGGCACCTGACTCCCGGCATTTGCCCCACTGAATTTGGTGGTTTGCCTTCTGGGATAAAAAAAAGGATTATAACACTTAGATATCTGAAGAGAATTAAGAAAGGCGTGCCACTTTAAATTTATTTTAAAAATTAAACCTTGGGCCAATTAATTGAGTTAAAAATTTAAAAAAAGGAAGCCTACTCACACTACAATACAAAGATATATTTTTTGGGCCTATTTTCCCCCCTATTTTGTTGGGTCTAGGGCGGTCGCCCCTGTTGCACCCCTAGGGCCACCCCTGACACAAAGCTCCTTTCGAGAACACTAGCTACATTATTTTGAAAACACTAAAACACAAATCATTTAGAATCACGATTAACATCATCTTTTGCGAAGCTATGACTAACATTAATTTCTATTCTAGAAAATATTATACCCGTAATAGAATTATTATATTATCTCCATCCTAAAAATGTCTTTCTAAATTGTATATTCTAGTTGACACACAAAACACAAAGCATTCTTTGAAAGACAATTGGAAGAAAGTTTCGAGACTAGTGTAACGCATGCAACACTTAAATTAAGAACACTACATATGTCTGAATGTCACTTTTCTTATCATAACTCCCTTATTATTTGTTTTGTGTTAATTGTTAATACAATCACTAAAGTGATTTATTTTTTAAAAAAATACTAAAAAAAAAGGTAATTTAGTGATTTTTTTTACTAAAGTGATTCATTTCAATATAGATATACTCTTTGTGGACTCGGTGGCGCAAAGCTTTTTTCTCTCATACTTAATGGAGACATGGAGTACTTGATACGTAGTAGTTGATGTAGGATTCTTCCACCTTCTTTCTTGGAAGTTGCCAAGAGGCATCTCACACTTTCTAGGAAGGAGCTCTCCAACATATGAGCATGGGAGAAGATATGGAGATAACTATGGAAGCTTGGATGCAACTTCCCCTTGTCTCCAAATAGCCCTATAAATAGAGTGTTTTATTGTTGTTCATATCATCAGTTTAGAAAGTGAGAAAAGTGTGTGAAGAGTGAAATACACTTAGAGTAGAAGTGTATTGGTGAGGATTGGTTTTTTGTAATAGTTGAGTGTGAGAGTTTGCTCCTCCTATTGTAATTCTGTTCTTGATATTGAATAGAAGAATTTTCCAATCCCAACAAGTGGTATCAGAGCGAGGTTGAGTTTTCATACACTCTTTTCTCATTTTCAGATAAATTTCTACAGGTTAGAAAATCGTGATTTTTCAAGTTGCTCGGAATCACGATCTGATCATAACGTTAGATTCGTCTCGTCGAGACGAGAAATATGGTATTTTTAGGGAATTTTTTGGCCACCGGAAGAGGCCGTACGCGCCGCCCAAACGCGCCGGAAAACTGCCTGCGTCATCACGCAGTCCAGAGGAAGAAGACGAGCCACGTCAACCGCCACGTCAGCCGCCACGTCAGTGCCACGTCAGTCCACGTAAGTGCCACGTCAGCCGTGCAAGCCATCCTCTGGGTGCCACGTCAGCGCCACGTCAGTGACACGTGGCGCCACGTCAGCGCCAGCGCAGTCCAGCTGTTGCCACGTCATCCGCCTGCCGGTCTGCCCACTGGTTTGCTGCTTGAACCGGACCGAACCGGTTCGAAGTTGTGGAGGCCGGTTCACCCATTTCCAGACCGGTTTTGGACGAGGTCAGACCGGTTCCTACCATTTTCGGCCATTCCGGATCCAACGGTGAGCTCCGTTTGTCCAAATTCGGCTCCGAAAATAAGGTACGAGATATTTTGAGCGTTTTATTATGGATAAATCATCATCGGACACCATGATTGCGCTCAGTTCCACAAATTACAATATGTGGAAGCCTCGGATGGAGGATTTGCTAAATTTGAGGGATTTAGCTGATCCTCTTGATAATAATGGCGTGAAACCGGATAAAAAGACGGATGAAAATGGACAAAAATGAATCGAAAAACTGTCGCACAAATTCGACAGTGGATAGATCATAGTGTGTTCCATCATGTTGCGCAAGAACAAAGTGCTTACACACTATGGGAGAAGCTTGGTAGCATGTATCAAGCAAAAACCGCCCGAAATAAGACGTTACTAATGAGGAGATTAGTAAACCACAAGTTATGAGGAGGTATTTCGGTGTCAGAACACACCAGTCAATTCCAGGATCTTGAGAATCAGTTGAGCACCACCGGATGGGTTCTCAAAGATGAAGAACAGACGATACTACTCTTGAGCTCTCTACCTGACAGCTGGGAGACTCTTGTTGTCACTCTCAGCAATTCTGCTCCCAATGGCAAGGTGACTATGCATATGGTCACAGATGCCCTTATGAATGAAGAAGCCCAAAGAAAAGAAGCCGGGACTGAACAATCATATGCCTTCGTGTCAGAAACCAACAGGCGAGGGGGAGGCAGAAATGGAGGAAGAAGTCGAGGTCGAGGTAGAGGTCAAAGTCAAAACAGGGGAAATTCTCAAGTTCGCGGCCGATCACAAGAACGAGGTATGTCCTGTGAAAACAATACTTGGTTTGAAGGATATTGCAACCATTGTGGTAATTATGGGCATAGAAAAAGAGATTGTAGAAAGTTTCTACGAGAGCAGCCACAGACGAGTCAAAATACTAGCCACGAAGATGGTGAGACCATGGTTAGTTTGTCATCAGACGTGTGTCTTGTTACACATGGTGAACAAGAATGTTTACACGTAGGTACTCATGATGTTGAGTGGCTGATTGATACAGCCGCATCATTTCACGCTACTCCACACCAGAACTTATTCACATCTTATAAGTCAGGAGACTTTAGAGCTGTGAAGATGGGAAACACGAGTTTCTCGAAGATTGTTGGCATTGGTGATGTGCACATAACAACCAATGTCGGATGCGCACTTGTGTTGAAAGATGTTCGACATGTTCCGGATCTTAGATTGAATCTTATCTCCGGTACAGCTCTGGATCAGCAAGGATATCTTAACCGATTCAAAGAAGGTACATGGAAGTTATCTAAAGGTTCCTTGGTTGTTGCAAGAGGCCATATTTGTGGTACTCTTTATAAAACTCATGCAAAGTTGTGTCATCCAAGTCTTAATGCTGTTGAAGAAGAGATATCACCAAACTTGTGGCACTGGAGGCTAGGCCACTTGAGCGTGAAGGGATTGACAACTCTTGCAAAGAAGGAAGTCATTTCCATGGGCAAAGGTGTTGCCCTAGATCCATGCGAACACTGTATATTCGGGAAACAACACAGGGTTTCCTTCAGTTCTACCAGGAAGAACCATTCAGAGTTACTCAGTCTTGTACACTCTGATGTATGCGGACCCATTGAAGAGGAGTCACTTGGAGGAAGCAGATATTTCGTGACATTCATTGATGATGCATCACGAAAGGTATGGGCTTACTGTTTAAAGAGTAAGGATCAAGTGTTTGATCGCTTCAGATTATTTCATGCCATGGTAGAAAGAGAAACAGGGAAGAAGGTGAAGTGTCTACGTTCAGACAATGGAGGAGAGTACACTTCCCGAGAGTTCTCAGCATATTGCGCTGCATACGGAATCCGACATGAGAAGGCGGTTCCACGAACTCCGCAACACAATGGTGTGGCCGAAAGAATGAATCAGACCATTATGGAGAAAGTTCGTTGCATGCTGAGTATGGCTAAACTACCTAAGCCATTCTGGGGTGAAGCTGTGCTGACAGCTTGTTATCTTATAAACAGGTCACCTTCTGTTCCTTTAAACTTTGAAGTGCCAGAGAAGAAATGGTCAGAACGAAATGTTTCTTACTCTAATTTGAAAGTGTTCGGGTGCAAGGCATTTGCACATGTGTCGAAGGAGTTGAGACAGAAGCTTGATCTCAAGTCAAACCCATGCATCTTCATCGGGTATGGTGATGAAGAATTGGGATACCGGTTGTGGGATCCCGAAGTGAAGAAAGTTGTACGAAGTAGAGATGTTGTATTTCATGAAAACGAGTTTCATGGGTGTGCTCCAATAATCCGCCAACAACATACTCCAGAAGACGAAGTGCAAGTATCATCAAACATTCCTCTTAGCAACGAGGAGATGTATGATTCTACTGAACAAGAGAGTGATGGTTCAGTAGGTGATGATGATACTCACAGTGATGATATTCCTCAGCA